AGTTTAACAAGAATGACGATCTTGGTTTAGCTTTCGGTCGAAACGAAAGAGAAGTAGCTGAATTATTGTAATACTTAAACTAGCAAGATTAATCAGGTTTTTTTTATTATAGATAGGAATATAAAATCATCAATGGATGATCAATCATTTACTTGGGTAAACAGGATATTTCTCTATAAAGCGGGACGTCATAAAACTTTTGATAAAAAGAGACAATCTTCGGTATACTGCGACATTTGTACAAAATGTTGGTAGTCCGTGGTGAAAGCAAAAATACGCAAGTTTTCAGCTGCCAATAAAGTATGAATGGGCGATATGACAAAATAATTACAAGGACTAACCATTCCCGAGCAAAGGCTTGTTACTCTCTACCAACACAACAGCTGCATTGTGAAATTATATTCATCTTTTCATTCGATAAGCACAGCTCAATCAACTTTAAAAGGCAACTGCATAAGCTTTCCTCAAGATGTTATTAACATAGCTACTACCCTGCCATTAGAATTAGATGATCTATGTGATTCTCTAAAAATTATTTTTGTTAGTTGTCGCACCCCACAAAGAAGTCAACTAAAAAACATTTTGGCTGTTCGAAAAACAAAAGTTTTTGATGCACTTAAATGACTTAGTCCAAACAATTTACGCCATCGATATGTTACAACTAATCAATCAACAACCAATAAATTACTTGAGAATGATGTCCCGGAGTGTTCCTGGGCAACAATGGAAATTTTCGCTAAGGTAGAAGCGGTTGAAAACGAAGGACAACTTATAGTTTTAACCCTCTGATCAATGTATCTGAGTCCAACACTACAACAGCTATACCAATAATTGCGAGGTAAAGCAAAAAGGCATTGATATTTGTACCTATCATTGTTTGTGTTGTAGTACTATCTTGCATGTTAACGGTACCAAAATTTCGTCTGATGACGTTGTTGAACATCTTTTAGAATGAATAAAGGTACAAATGGGTGATAAAACGCTGGAAAAAGACATCGAGGAAAATGTTGAACAAAATACTGTGTACATAATTCCTCGTGGTAACAAACCGGCCAATGAATATTCTAATCCAAATCTTTTATTGGGTATCTTTCCTACATTTTTTCCGCATGGATGTGATACACTCGAAGATTACTCTCGACCAGTCCAAATTAATTTTCGTGAGCATCTCAGATATCTTCTTTCGTACGGAGATCATCGTTTTGAAGAACACTACTCATTCATATTTGTTGTCTTCAATATTTTACAACGCCGAATCGCGTGCTTCCATGCCCAATTAATAACATCAAGGCCGTACTTTCAGCAATCCGCACAACTTCTTGAATTATTGAGTTCTGAAGATGTAACAACGATCCTTGTCAACATCCCAAAAGCGCCTCATTCAAAAGTTACTAATGAAAGAAGAAATACGCTCATGAAGCATATCAAAGTGGTTGGTGGTCATGTTATGGATTCAGTTCATTCACGGTCGACTCTTTGTACGAAAATTCATTCTTTGTGTTTTAATCTCGGTCTTCCAACTCTCTTCCTACCAATCAATCCAGTCGACATACATAGTCCAGTAGCATTTTATTTTGCAGGTGTTGATCTAAATCTTGACAAATTTTTGCCAGAAGTGTTGGGCACAAGTTATGAACATGCTCAAATTATCGCAACACATCCTATTGCTACTGCAAAGCTCCTTAACTGTTTAATAAAAAGCATCTTGAAAAGTATTGTGCTCGGTAGTGTACTTGGTCCTACAAAAGCATATTTCGGCATTGTCAAGAATCAAGACAGAGGCTCGCTTCACTTTACACCTTCTAATTTGGCTCAATCATGAGTTTACTCCAGCACAATTAAAAGAAAAGGTTCAACACGAAGATTTTCGTGAAAATTTACTAAAATATTTAGAAGATGTTGTAAAAGAAGATTTAGACCCATTTCGAGGTAATACATTTAGCACCGTTCGAATTTGTGATTTGAAATATTCGCATTTGCCTATTTGACGAAATTTCATACCCTGAGAATACGTTATCGTTGCTTTAGCCTAGAGTTGAGCTTTCAACTAATTCTCGATAATCTAAAATGTGTTTAATTCGAATTGCAGATTCTTAGTAACCATAATAACTGCATTAGATCATTTGTACTTTTAAATTTGACCATTCTTTTTAAAGATGAAAGCGACAATCGAATCAGTACAGCAAGCGATAACAGTGAATCAATTCGTGAGTTTGTAGCTTTTAGTATATCCTTAATTTTGCTTTTGTCTTGATTTTAGAAGAAACTGGGCCGATAACGAATAAAGTTGTACCGACCAACCTACCAACGGCAAATCGTATGTTAGATGACTTCCATCGTATTTTTCGCAAAGATATGATGATATTAGTCGAAACATGCAATATTCACGAGCATTCTGCAATGTGTTACAAACACTCGAAAGGCAAGTCCAATGGTTCTAAAGCTTGTCAATTGTGTATGCCACGTGTACTCGTGAAGACTTCCAACATCGATCCTTCTATAGGTTAGATAACTATGCATCGATCATATCCGTGGATCGACAACTTCAATGAATGACTCTTAAATGCTTGCCGATCCAAAATAGATATTAAATTCATCTAGAATGGTAACGACACTAAAGCTTTAGGGTACTATATAACTGATTATGTAACAGAGTCGACTCTAGCCTTCTATGATATGTTTGCCCTTACGCAGCAAGGAGTCAAATCTATTGAGCAGCAGCAAGTTGCTAGTAAAAAGTTTTAAAAATGATTACATAGATATTTAATAAGCAATTTTTCTAGAGATCCTAACGTTCTTCTATGATGAACAAGGTGAAGATACAAAAGAAACTGAAGAACAGTTTCTATTAGAGCCAACAAAAACCAAAAGCGGTGATGGGTTTGTCATGATAAACACTCGTCTGGACTATTAGCATTGATCAAAAGATCTAAGTGCATTATGCTTATATGATTTTATCAGTCATTTTCCCAAGAAGGTTATTGACAAATCAGACCGCCGTTTACTAAAGAATGAAAATGGGCATGAAGGCGAACGATTATATACCGAAGGAACAAAAATAAACGAACGACACACATTTGAAAGTGTACACCCACAATGATCATTACATATCATCATTAAACGTACCACTCCAGTAGTACCAGTTCTGCTTGGTTCTCCAATACCCCATCGCGAACGAGAAGAAACACACCAGCGTTATTGTCGTGCATTGCTAACTTTATTCATGCCATGGAGATCAGTCTACGATCTTTGTGCACTAAATCAGACATGGTCTGAGGCACTGGAAGTTCGAAAACCATTGATCTCTTCTAGTTCACTCAAAATTATAGAAAATATACAACTTTTGCACGAATGTAAGCATAATCGAGATGAGCACCTTCATCAAGTTCTTCTAGAAGCACAAAATGACAGCAGCATTGATCCTATTCTGATCCTTAACTCCTATGAAGAAGATCAAAATACTGAGGAAGACGATCTTGAACAGCTTTTGCAAATGCTTTCCATCGTAAATGAGATCATCACAAATACTTACTCGGCATTGACAGTTACTCACGAACAACGCTATGTTCATGATGCACTACAAGCAATTGATAATACAGATAGATTTGCATTACTCAATGGTGAGTTAATTACTGCCATATTCCGAAAATATTTTGTTTGATTTAGGCCGTACACGTTCTCTGGGCGAAAATAATTATGGTGCCATACACGACGTCCACACATGTGTCGTAGCTCGCGAGCATCATATGACCATGATTAAAGAATGGAAACGTGATATTGACGCCCGACGAGATGAAACAAGAAACTATTTAATTTTAGGCCAAGATACTCTGGACGTACGAGATGATGAAACACAGATTGAAATCGTAGGTACTGAAGTTCCAACAAGCCCAATTAAAACGAAAGTTACGAGAATCTCACCTGTGACTGCAATCAATGCGGTTATATTTCCCACAAAACAGGATATCGTCAAATAATTTACGCTAAATATACAGCAAAAATATGCTTTTATGATTGTTACTAGTCACTTAGATGGTGAACATTATACTTATACCGGTATGTTATCTCGATTTTGTTGTTGTATGGTTTAGTTAGTCTTGATATTTAGGTACTATCGATAATCAGTTATTGATGTGTATACCTGGCTGTGGTGGCACTGGAAAATCTCAGTTGATTCGTGCACTCACCAAGTATTTCCAACTAACAAAACGGGGCAAGATGTTGCGTAAACTGGCGCCAACATCTATAGCAGCAGCTGAGATTGACAGATTAACTATCCATTCATTTTTAGGTGAAAGTCGCAAAAACACTAAAAAGAAACAAACCCGTACATTTAGACCTGGTGATATGAAATTAGAAAATGAATGGCGTCATATGAAGCACTTGATAATCGATGAGATGAGCATGGTAGGACTTTAGTATCTTAGCTCATCTAAATCAAATACTTAAAACAGCGAAGCACGTAAATTCTGAGATACCTTTTGGTGGTGTCAACGTCATTTTCTTCGGCGACTACCTTCAATATTCTCCTGTTTTGGACAAGCCTCTCTACTATAGCTGTGCACCGACACAGCAAGTTACGGAACGTCAGAGAGATATGTTGTGTGCACAGAAGCTTATGTCTGAAATAAACTTCGTTGTTGAATTAACTCAGCAAATGCGAACCGAAGACATAAGATATTTGGAGTTTTTAAATAGATTAAGACATGGACAATCGACAATAGAAGATTACCAACTTCTGTGTACGAGAGTCGTAGGAAATCCAAAACTTCAAGTGTCTCTACAACAAAAGCCATGGAACGAAGTATGCATACTCATTTTCTCTGCGTGTCACATTACTTTTCTTTTAATAGGCTCCAATACTGGTTTTTCGGAATACGCTACGCACTCAAATTAACAATAGGGCTGTCTTAAACAAAACAATGGAAATGAGACTTACCCCAATTGTATGCATTGCTCAAGATTATATTCAAGGAAAAACTGGATGATATACGGTTACGTTAAGCAATACTTGAACTACCTAACAATAAAACAGAACATCTTCCAGGGTATTTACCTCTCGTACCAGAAATGCCAGTTTTACTCACAGAAAACGTCGCTAATGAGATCGGACTCTCCAACGGTACACGTGGAATCCTTCGTCAATTTGTATACGATGAATCACCAGAAGATATTCGATACCAGGATAAGAATTTTCCACCAAATACCAAGTTTATAACTCAACCAAAGTATGCTTTGGTAGAATTTCCTGGTTGCAAACTTGATGACAAACTTGCTGAACTGCAGTCCAAAATAGTTCCTAAGCCATTAGTGAACAAACATTCTTGTTTGATGCCAAGGAACTTCTTCCAGAAAATATAGCGAAAGCGGCCAAAATAAACAAGAAAACAACAAAACTCTCGGTTAAACGTAAAGCATTTCCGCTTATACCCACATATAGCATGACAACGTATAAAAGCCAAGGCCAAACACTCGATAAAATTATCGTCGATCTGGTGATGCCGCCTGGTCCAATCGAACTCGCATCGGTTTATGTTCCATTATCTCGTGTAAAGAGACTTGACGATTTACTAATTATACGTTCATTTGAATTTGCAACACTTCAAGTTAAACCGTCAACGGCCCAAATAGAAGAACTTAAAAGACTCGATAGAATAGCACAAAATACTCGGAAACGTTTTCAATTCATTGTTTAAAACAACAACATCTGAAGAGTGCCGTGATGTTCAGAAAAACCACCTAACGCATAAAAAACGATACATTGCATGCTCGAAATTTGTGCGTTTTACAGTTCTCGTCCATAGATCATTTTGTAAAACTTGTACGAAACTCTATTTCAAATAAAAGCCATAAAGACAAAAGAGAATGAAAAGAAATTGAACTATGCAAACGAACCGTATTGATAGAAAGCCGCTATCGCTTGCGCATTCAACCGGCATCCCAAGCAGCATTTGACAGCTATCCACTACAACACAAGCTATATATGACACACGGCATATAAGAAAACTTGTTAAGTAACGATTTCAGAGAAGAATAGCAGTGTCAACCAAATTTTGCTACCAATATCTCCGCTAAACTCACAAGTGCACCTTCATGTGACCGCATCGTAACAAAACCACAAGCTGCATTGAGGACTAAAGGCAACCGAACGACCCTCATTTCATTCAATAGACTTTTATAAACAACTAGTACGGTAGCATTAACTGCCACACATCACTAAAACTCACAGAAAATAACCAAGAATACTGCCCCAACAGGTATTCCAACCATACTCAAATCTAGACTGTCAGTTTCAAACACAAACACGGTGCCTATTGGTGCAGGATCCAGTGTGGATGTCGGTGTCGATAGGCATAAGAATGTTTCATTCAATTCCAAATCCAAACACACACCCACACTCCAACCCATCCAAACGCACCGAACACCAACACCCACACACACTCTCAGACTCACATCCAAACTCAACTCACTCCCACACTCGCCATACCCACGCCCTATCAAACCCACATCCACACCCTCTCCCTCAGCCTCATCCTCACCCACGCCCACACCAACACCCCCATACACACCCCCACATACACGCCCACACCAACTTGAAAACCTATGCTTGGTCCAAATCTTAACTCACAAAATATCGTTAGCGCATAGCGAAACTGTAAAAAAAAGCAATGATTCATCCAATTGGTCGCTCTTGAAATCTCATTGGTGCATGGCCAAACCGTGAAAACCTATGATTGGTGCAAATGGCCACTCTCGAAATCTCATTCGTGCATAGCCACACGGTGAAAACTTATGATTGGCTGAAAATCTGTCACCTGAAATCTGATTGGCTGGAATGCAGACATCTGATTTGTCGGGGAAGGGGGGGGGGGAGGGTAAGGAATCTGTACTAATCGATTGGATAAGGTGAAGATCTGTTGTAAGATCGATGATGTTATAGGTGAAAAAAACATTTTTTCGTTCTGTGCGAACGAACGAACGAACGCACGAACATACGAACCTTGCTCGGTGTATGACCCTCCTTTCAGTAGAGGGAACAATTTTCAGACGTAGTTTTTCTATTTCATTAAAGGCTGAAGACAGTATGGTTTGAATATTTTCTGAAATGAGAATAATCCATTTCTCACCGATTCTACGACATTTCAGTGCCAAATCAGCTAGTTTATCTTGTTTTGTTGAATTACAAATGGTTAACATTCTCATAGTTATTATCGTAATAGCTGCTAATACCAATTCATGTTGCCAATTTAATTCACAATCATCTAAACGACGATCTAATCTCGTAATTAATTCGTCAATAAAATGATCGTCTAATAATTGTTCATGCGCTTCCGAACACCAAGAATTATCAGATGAACTAATATTCATTGTCTGTGGGCCGTATTGCCATATTGAATGCATGATCAGTATTGTCACACTTTCTTCAGAAATAGGTAATGAGTCCATTTCAAACATTGCCAAGAGATTCCACCATTGTAAACGATGACCTGATCTAAATGAACCAAATTCTATAAACTGACTGGGTTTCATTCGTATTGGACAATCGGACCGTTTAGCAATTACATGATTTTGAAGAAATTTTGTAGTATTTATTGCAATTGTAATTGTTTGTAATCTGGATGATTAAGTTGGGGGGTTAATATACGGCATTCATCATCGAATCCAATTGATTTTGTTGGCAAGATTTCAACAGTCAAACTATTTTCATGTAAAAAACCTTCGATAGATGTAGAACCAATAAATGGTGAATAGGAATAATTTTGCGTTACAGATTTTGTAGAGGATACTAATTTCACTTTACAGTTGCTTGGACTAGTATAGAATGGTCCTAACTTGCTTGCATGAGGAGGAATACTTAACCATTCGTGCATCTTATGTGGTGGACACGGTTTTGGACGATTGATAAATTGCCAGATGGTATCACGATAATTTCGAATTTCAAGGGGCATCTGTAATTCAAAAATAACGGCTAATGCTTGTTCGCGTTTGGATGGTAATGGACATTCATAAATATGTACTTTAACGTTCATAGCTTGTTCCTCAATTGTACATCTGTGACATTGTCGATGATAACCATATTTATAACTACATGAACAAGACATACCTCTTATTGAATTCATAAGGCCTGTATATCTTTCTTTTGCATTTGTGACTTCCTGTATTTTCTGTTGTTTATCTCGTTCAGCTTGAGCTCTAATTTTTTGTATACTTTCATTCATTTCCGATGATTGAGAAGCACAATATACACCGAATGCATTAACATCATCTATAGATGTCAAAAGATCAGGATATGTTTTGTTACTAAATTCACTAAAGTAATGTCGGAGATCATAAACTCGAATCATATCGTTTCGATTTGGTAAGACTAAAAATTCAAATAACTTCATAAGATTTGGAATATTTATTGAATGTTGTTTTAGTCGTTCAAATCTTGAATCATTACATAATTTTTGATGCATTAAGCGAATAATCGTTAATGATGTTAGAATATATCGACTATAACCCATAGGATCTGTCGGACCTTTTTCTGACCAATAATGATTCAATGCTGCATTTTGATATTCTTCAAAGAAGTCCAACAAAGTTTCAAACCGATCCCTTCCGCTTAGGTATATTGTTGGGTGATTGATCCATTGGTTTAAACGTGATTCAACCCAAATTTCTATACGAGTCAAAGCTATTCCAATAGTATAATTAAATTTTTCTGTTAATTCTTTAATCGATGGTACATAATCATCCTGAATAACGTTACTACTAACATTATATTTCTTAATTCCTGGCAAAAATGTCATTGTTTGTCTCAAGATTTGATTATTCGGAGAAGTTTTTAAGTCTTCACATAAATGTTGATAAATATCACATTCAAGAAATTTGACGTTGGTCATCAATAATTTTCGATTTGTTTCTTCATTGTTTTGAATGGATTTTTGCCAATCTGATCCTGGAAGAATTTGATTAATTTTCATTTGTATTTCTTGTTTCGTACTTTGTATCCATGCGTTCATATCATTTGAATTTATAGACGATAACAGCTTTTCGATTTTACACAATCTTCGTACGATTTTTCGAATACAATGAACTAATAAATCAGTGGATATTGTAGAATATGTATTACAAATAACATATGTTAGAAAATGAGTGATCAATAATTTATAAACAAGGGTGCCCACATGCCCCAAACGTTTGGTTAGAATGATTTGAAGTACTACTTTGATAGTCAACCATAAGCCTGAACGTCGAAAAGGTAATAAGGCACTGCTACATCTGATATGATCGCGATGTTTTTTCTTGAATTCAATAGACATATTAGAACTGTTTTCAATTTGAATTCCTTGAAATAGTTGAATCCACCACTGGCATACATAATGAGATTCTGATACATCATGTATCTTATTTTTTTGTAGAGAAGTTTGATAAGATTTGGAATATTCAATCGTGTTTTTCATAAAGTCCACCAACAATTCACAATGAACTTTGGAACTCAGCTGAGATCGATCGTTCAATCTGTATGTTGTTACTGGAAAGCAAGAGAGATGAGGAACAAGAGAAGTAGTAATATCTTGAATTGGTAATAAAACTTGCCAAGATGAAACTAATGGTTGATCAATATTGTTTTCTTCAATTTCAATTAGAATTGCAGCATTTTGAGCATTGAAATATAATGGAAGAAAACTTCCTGGTGGTTGTTGCTCAATAATAGTTTGTATATTTGATTTGGAAAAATTATCTGGGTTCTGTAAGATAGACCAACTTTTAAGACAATAATCGCTAAGCACGTGAAATATTGGCAAATTATTCGTATCATTTGTTAATTCAAAACTATCCAAATATTGTTTCATATATTCTAATATCTTGTATTCATATTGATGATTGGACTGAATTAAAAAATCATTATCAGCTGAAGATGGTAGATTATGTGGGAGAAACAAGTGGTTCAAAATTGATTGATCCATAGTTCAGCACTGTGAGAATATGTTGTGACGTTAGAAAAATAAATGCAATCGTCGAATTGCAGACATAAACAATCGAAAAGTGAAAGACACCCACGAGACGTAAAAAAACAAACTCCTCGTCGCTAATGCAAACTTGGTTGGCAAAGACAAAACAGTAGACTTTTTAAGTAATGAAAAAATAGTGAGAAGAAAAAACAACATTACATTATACAGTTACACTTTGTTACAGGCATGTTGTTCACATACCTTCACCTCACTTCAGTTGTTATTGTTCGTTTTCTCTCTGTTCGCTCTTGGCATTCGCTTCTTGTCTCTATTCTGTTTTCATTCTCTTTGTTTACATTCTTTGATTCTTTTTTTCTCTCATCGCGATACTCTCTATCTTGGGTCGGGTCATTCGAAATAAAACTGAACCAAAAGAAGAAGCAAAATGGACCTTTGATACACTTTAACAAAAGCAAAAAAAACATTGAGCTATTGCAATAAATTTCAGTAATGTGGTGCATTTTCGGGTATGGGGTGTGGGTGGGTGTGGAGTGTGGTTGGGTGTGGATATGGGTGTGGGTATGGGTGTGTAGGTATGGGTGTATGTATCCATTTCATCTCCACCCACACCCACACCCACACCCTTTATTTACTTCAATCTCAATGTATCAAACTGAAGGCCGTTTAGATAAATTTAAATCTACATCAACAGCTATCTTTAACAACTGATGATGAATAGGTGTCTGTTACTCGAAAACTTTTGTTTGAACAGTTATAATAATAAGAAACACAACTTCATTTCATTTATTTATTTACATATTGTATATATCAGATAAGATCAACTTGATAGAAAATAATAAATAGTTTAATTGACATTTTTCTTTGGTGAGCAAGTGTTGAATTAATCATAGTACTTTCGAAGAAAAAAAGACAAACACATATTTGATCCATAATAATCTAGAAACTGAAAAAAATATGCATGGACAAATAAGTTTGATCAAAAATACAATAAAATTTCCGTATGTGGACAGCTCCACTCTCCGTTAGCTGTGTTTTGCAAAATAATATTGAGAATGTAAATTTTGTTTGTTTTGGTAACTATAGAAATGACTATTAACGAGAAAAACTGAAAACCTCTCGAAAGTGGACACCTCCCTATGGTGAACACTTAGCAAGAGTCCCTTAGTTGTGCACTATATAGAAGTTATCGTGTAGTTAATTTAATCGAAGTGCTTGTTCATTGTTCGTATGTTTAAATAGTCATAATATCCAGGAAAAAACTTTAGAAAACACAGTTGGATCAATTCTAAGATTTAAATTGAATGAAAATATATACGAATAGAGAAATTTCATTGAAAGCATTTTATGTATCGATATTCTTCACATGATTTATCAAGTACTCAAACAGACGAAATGTTCTTCACAAAAAAAATTCGTTTTTCTAAGAATGTCCGAGTTACAATGAAACAGATTTGTTTTGAACAAACTAATTTCATCAAATGAAGTTTGGTAACTAAATTCTACCCAGGGAAATAAAAAAAATGAAAACAAATGGCTTTTTTCATGATGAAATGAACATAATAATGCATTTATTCCATTTTCATTGATAAAAATGAAAATTTTTATCATCGATCTCATTTCATGATTTTGATTTCTACTCAAAGTCATAAAATGAAAGTGATTAAAAATTAAAATCATAAAATCATAAAAATTGATGATGAAAATTTTCATTGTCATCAACGAATATGAAATGAATGCATTATTATGTTCATTTCATCATGAAAGATGCCATATTTTCCATATTTTTTCATACGAAAGTCATCATATTTTTTTAATTGCGTGGGTATGCTTATAGATGGATAGGTGATTTATTAATATTGTTAAAAAATGGAAAAATGCAACTCTTTTCCTCAAAAGCAACACATTTTATTTAGTAACAAAAATTAAACATTAAATATTTACATAAGAAATTGAGAATAAAAAAAAGTACTTAGACAAATAAATTGTACAAAATATTTACATAATTATATACAACATATTTTTAGGTAATTATTTACATATTTATGTACGACATATTTACATATGTACATGATTTTAGAAAATGTGACAGCATGGATCACATTTTCCAAAATCGGCCTTCTTCTCCGGGTGCTGATCGCTGTGAGTATCGCCCAGCCAGTCTCCAACACTGAAGGATACTTGACTTTTGGCAAGATTTTCATCTTGACGAAAATCATCATTTTCCAGTGGTGGAGCAACCTATAAAACAAAAAATTCATTTAGTTATACTTTGTCACTATAGATTTTACAAAAATCACTTACCTCGGTGCAGATCGTAGTATCGGCCTGGAACGGTCCGCGCTCGACGACCAGCACATCTGGAAAAAAGGCCGGCTCGTGAAACCGGTACGAGCCCGGAAAAGCTCCTTCAAAATCTAGATGAAAATTCTTTTCTTATTAAGATCTTTATTTTTAAAAAAATATGCTTACCGGTGGTCAGTGTGTTGATTGTTCGATACACTGACTCACCTCCCATGTACCCAATAAGGTACATGGGAGCCATATCCCCATGATTGTCTCAAACATAGCCAACATTTCTGGGCTTTACCGGGACCAAGTCATTGGTCATCGTGCTAGCGTCACGTAAATATCAGCACGGCCAAATAGAACCTATTGTTGAAAAATGAGCTTTTTAAAAATATTATCATGAAACAATTTACCTGGTTTTCCTCGTACCAGTGTTTCACCATGGCTGGCACCCGTTGCTGATGTCGCACATACCCGCGACTCTCCAAAGAGAGCATGGTCTCAAATATGGACATCACCGGCATTAATTTGTTTTTCATTCAGTGCTGTGAGACGCGTTGAAAACATTTTATTTATAATTTTTTTAAAGAAGTTTTGTACAAAATCTAAAAAGAACGAGATATGAATAAGTATGAGTAGACAATAAATTCTATGGCGTCTCGCGAAAAAAGCATCGAAACAATTCTGTTAACGTGCATGCACCGATTCGTATATATATATGTTTGGAAAATACCCCCACAGAGCTTATTTCACCATCAAATGAGAAATAAACAATGCTTGAAAACATTCATCATTCTTCGTCTGTGAAGGAACAAGCACCGTCAATATATTAACTTCCATAATAGTCATTATCAATCACCTGTGAACAAACGCTTCATTCATAAAGCATACGTTGATAAATTACATATACCCTACTTAATACTCATGGTATGCAAACAATCAAACACCGACATACAAATATAACACTCTAAATGAGCTGTTCCTTTTCCTAATTCACACTTTCTCGTTGGTCAATGTATTATAACAGTCTTCTTTCAAAAAAATTTCCTTCATACGCCGTATCATATATATTGAATAATAGGATCTTCTTCGATGAGCTGTTTCAAAACATCCAAATCCACCTCTAGTGGTCTTCCGGAACGAGGTAAATCGTCGAGCTCTAAATTACCGTCCTTGAACCGATTGAACCAATGTTGCGCTGTATGAATGGAGAGTACATCCTTGCTCATCGTGCTGCATATGTTGCTGGTTGCTTCTATTCCTTTGTGACTCAAACGAAATTCATGAAGCAAAAGCACCAGGAGGTCTCTACGAGATATCTTCAACTCTAATTCGAGATCAACATCCATACCCATGATTTTGTTATTGTTCGAAAGAAATTCATACCCCCTTTATATACCCTCAGTATGGAAACTTCTAGAACTTTTGTGACTGTTCTAGGAAAATTAAAGAAAACAAGCAAAAACTTTCTGGCCAATCCAATAGAAAGATCGAATCTCGACGATTACAGAAGAGAACCATGCTCTCTCCTATATATACCGATATTTCTCAATAAATTTTATTTCTATTTGTTTTTGAGAATAAAAAGACGTCAGTATCTTTCAAGAAGATATGAGGAAGGAACATTTTCGAATACAAACGTAAAGTATGCCAATGTTTGTGTCGAGTTTATATTAGCTATTATTTTCTCTCTATAATATCAAGCAAGCAAGATGACAATAACATCTGAAAACTTCAATGTTCTTTCCAACAAAATTGTGAACTAAAAACAAAAACTCTCTATGGAAAAGAAAACTTGAGCAAGAAATTGTCATTATTGACACATGTCCATATCTTTGAATCTTACTTTATTTATTTTTTTTTTGTAATATAACAATAGCTTTTCAAAATCATCTGAAAATTTTTCTTTAGTTAGAAAGATACAGTATGTATACTGTAGTCAATTAAAAATATTCGTCAAACAAGTCAAAAGATCTCACTAATCATTCACTTAGTTTTATATTTTCCAACTGATACTATCATAGTAATGTCCTTCTTTCATAATATAGGCTAGGTTTTCAGCGATTTGATGCAATAAATGGATAATTTCATCAAATCAAAATAGAGTATTGAATGATAGTGAATCTTCCTGAAAAAACTAATCCTATTACTAGCTACTTCTGTAATCGAAGTTTCATCATTTTAATAAATGATAAAATTAACAACAATAAAATATAAAGAAGAAAAGATCTTGAACGATTTTGTAGTACACATCTTACTTTCAAAGATGTATCATTTATATCAAACCATTTCATCCACCGATTATATGATACTCGTTAGCGTTCGTTTCACAAGAATGTCGTAATTTCTACTGCAAAACAATTATTTCGTATCGAACAAATAATGGCACATGAGGAAAGAACAAATGCATACGTATGATGAGATTTTTCTTTGACGTACATTGCAACATATTGCATATAAGAACGGATAAAAGTATCTACATCTTTTGCAACATTGGTTGTTTGTTGTATGTAGTAGCAAAAAGAAATGACGACAATGACTGACTTTCGAAAATGTTATCAATTACACCAACGTCATAAGCATGATAGTCGAGCGAGAAAATACAAAAAAGTCATCGGCCATGTTTATTGCCAAGTATGATATGAAGAAATTAATTAACATATATTACAATTCTTATCTGGATTATTTTTTTAAGTAAGACAGAAAAAACTCGAACAACAGCTCGACCGTACAGACGAGTCCAATTGACTGATTCCAGCAGGTGTGGGTGTGGATCTGAGTTCACTGAAATATCATTCTCACAACCACATCCAACTACATCCTTGTTCATTGTTGTAAAAAAGCCGGAGAATAATGTTATATGTTTTTATATGACTGAAATGTTTTCATTCTTATCTTTTCACGTTATGTTCGTTCCTTCTAAGAGAAATATCGTTAAGAAGAATATGGAGAGACGTTCTTATATGAGTAACACAATCACAAAGTAATATTGTGCAATTGCTTCTTCTAGAATGAATTCGAAGCTAATTTCAATCAATTTCATGGAAAGAATCGAATTCGAAATTGAGTTTCTGTCAATTTTGAAATCCAACGATTTACAAAAAAAAATGAACGAAATCAACCAATTCATGTTCATCTATGAATGAATGAACATTGAACAACGAAATATTTTATTTTATTATATTGGTCTCATAGTGATGTCGATAAATAACATACAATTTTGTTATTTCCATCTATGATAACCATTTCATGGCAATAAACAGAAATCGCCATCAATGTCGAACTCATTCAACATATGGCTCTATCAACCTTGGACAAACTTAATCAAATCTTCGAATAAAAAATCTTCATTCAATAAACAATTCAATTCAATAGAGTTACTTATTAAAATTTTCTCTTAAATAATAATCTAAAATCAATCGATCTCTGAATAATTCTTTCATCTATATAGTCTGTTTTGAGAAATGTTATTTAGCATGTGTAAAAAATACACTCAATGACCCACTGCTGATTTATTATACACGACCTTCTTCATTTTTCTTCTCGACTACATTATAATTGGTGAGTCATCGATGCTGTCGAATGAGAAAAAGCAGAACAAAGAAAAAAAAACAACCATGTGGCAATAGGGCAACTCTCATTTTATGATACGAACGATTCATTTCTTCTCTCATGCCGTCAATTGAGTTCGTTTTGTTTGCACCGACAATCGCTGAAGCTACTCTAATTGGATCTTTCTCGGAATGGAAAGACGTTCCAATGACCCCAGAAAATGGAACATTTCGTTGTTCAATCGATATTCCTGATGGTGAACACGAATACAAGTATCGTGTTCGACGAACAGATGGCGACAATTGGACAGATGTAATCGATCCCTATGTTAAAAAGTACGACCCAACACGTAACACAGGTCTGATCAATATCAAAAATGGAAAACAACAAATGGATGAATTTATTTGGAAATATGATGATACCAAATTACCCGATAACAAGAATTTAATCATCTATGAAATGTATGTTGCAGATTTTTCTGATAATGGACAATTCTCGGGAATCATTGGCAAATTAGATTATTTGAGCGATTTGGGTATCAATGCTATCGAGTTAATGCCAATTCAAGGTAAAGAATTATTCAAAAATATGAAAGATTGTCAGTACACGGTATTAGTAATCATAGTTCATTAAATTGTACAATTCTTTATTTCACTCAGATATTTTTAAGAGACGATCAAGTAGCTGTTTGAATAATATTTTAGTATTGTTTTTGAGCAGTTGTACCTGTTTGACAACTGCTTGAACTCTACACGATTTCTTTGTACTCTTTCAAATTTCTAATAGTTTTATTCTTTTTGAAATAGAATGTTGTACGTAGTGCTCAATGATGACTAATAAGGAAAGTCTTTGCAAAGAGTTTGAAGAAATAAATGACATAATTTTCGTACTGTGTTTAGGATATTTCTCGTTCTAAGCTTTAATAGTGGAAGTAGACATCCTTTTTTGTTCATATGTTTAGAATCGATGGGTTTAGCCCATGATTGGGGCTATTCTACTAGACATTTTTTTGCTCTAAAACCAACATATGGTACGTCTACAGACTTGAAACAATTTGTTGACGAATGTCATCGACGAGGAATTCGTGTATTCCTTGATGGAGTTTTCAATCATACGGCAGGCGATTGTCCGCTTGCAGTCATCGATCATGATTATTGGGTACGTTGAATTGAAATATATTAAAATTACATTTTCTCTTTTGTTTTAGTACTACAAAGACAAACATCATCCGGAGGGTACATGAGTAGATATGTTTTTTTTTCTTGATCACTATTTAATTTTGAATGTAAAGATCCATTCTATTGGGGACCTGAATTTAACTTTGAATATTATGATGAGAAACAGAATATGAAACCAGCATGCAAATATATCAATGATGTGGTTTGCTATTGGATTGGTGAATTCCATCTGGATGGTATTCGTTTCGATGCTGGTAAGTATAGAAAAAGAAATACATTTGAAACTATTCGATAGAATAATGAATCATTTTAATAACCTCTACGGAGATAAATCATTCATTTGTATACTCTCTCTTGCAGCAAAACAAATGGATAATTATGACATTCTTCACGAACTCGACTCTGCCGGTCGTTCCGCTCGTTCTTCTCAACCGTTCTATTCACAAGCTGAATACGTACCTGAAACGCCGACAATTGTTAAAGCAAACGGAGGTCCCGTCGACGCATGTTGGTCTTCTTCGTTTCATGGCATTGTCGCTGAAGTTTTAGCCAATCCATCAAACTTCAATCTGGATCAGGTAAAATATATGATAAGTGCATCCTCTGTTATCAACTATCTCAGTTGTCATGACAACGAACGTTTACTTTTTCTACTTGGCAAGAATGGCAATATTTTTGATAATGAAGCTTTTAGACGTATGCGATTAGCCGCTGTTCTACTCATTACTTCCGTTGGTGTACCTCTTATTCCACAAGGTGATGAATATGGTGAAGCAAGAGAATTGGGTACCGATGATCCAAATAAAAAAAAATTGCCTATGCAATGGGATTTGCTGAACAATCAACGAAATCGATCGCTCTTTGACACATTTAAACGTCTATTGGAACTACGTAAATGTCGTGGTGATATGACTGATAATAACGTGAATTTTTTCTATGAACATTTCGACAATCGAGTTCTAGCCTATGCAAGAAGTCAAGAACTGGTGGTCGTGACACATTTCATAGGTGATGAAAAACAAGGATATGAAGTACAAAATTTTCCTAATAATGGAAAATGGGTCGATTGGTTGACGAATGAAGAATATCAAGTCGATAACAATACATTAAAAGTAGACTTACGACCGTTCGATGCTCGAGTTCTTATTTTGAAAAAATAGTTTGTTTTTGTTTTCAAGGTTTGAAATTATCTCAAAACCTACCATAAAAAGAAATTTGTTTGATATTTTTTGTAATTTTGTGAACTATTATTTGTCTGATTATTATTCTAAAAATAATTATATACACAAGCTAGGAATAAAAACATTAATCACGCAAAGAGAATCCATTTTTGAACCTAGGGCTTTCTAATGAATTTAAAATCTTGAAATTCAAAAAGCCAATTTACCATAGAAATATGGTTTTTCTAATCTATTTAAATATATAGTAAAGTCGCACATCGCCGGTCTCTCTATGTTTCTCGTTATAATCTTAAAAATCATTTGTGTCATCATCCAGAGCCAATGAGGACACATTGATGTTATTGATTATAATGATGAGCAGATACTGGCAAGTGTTCTGTCCTCTTTCTACATATATATATGTACTTAGAGCATACAAAAAGTTCTGGTCGCGGCATTTTAAATTTTATAAAACATTCAGTATCGAAGGTTTTATTGCATGAATACATAGTAGAATGCCTCACCAATAATAATGCATATAACAACTCCAGCTTGAATTTAATTCTAGCATTCTTTTAGATAAAGTCTATAATATAATGACTACGCGAATATTTGACTATTCCTTATCTAACGTTTAGGTATATTCTGAAACTTTCCAGGATGTGGGTATCAAGAAATGGAGGAATAACCCACACCCACACCCTATTATGAAATGGTTGATATTTCATGTGAAGATTAGGACTGTAAAAGTTCCAGTTTGAAAGAACAAATGTGATGTGGTGTCTAACGAAACGTTTGAACATGATGTTTTCGTCTGCTACTCTCTAAAATTGCTTATATACTCACAAATTATTTGAATAGATTTTGTCGAATTGCATCAAGAAAAGTATGTTTCTAATTTTCAAAAAAATATTTTACAAAAACTTAAATTCGGATCCTATTTCCTCTTATATTTGACAATAAAAGTATATTGAGCTTTTGTTCGAAATTTGAAATGCATTTTTCCTCATGCGATTCGACGAGCTCTATCCAAATATGACGGAAAAAAAAGTCTACTGAATTTATAATTTGCGAGTATGTTGGATACACTATAAATGTCTTAAAATTCAAATATCTTGGTCTAAACAGATCAATAGCAACCTATATTTTAAATAGTATTCTAAGATATAATCATAATAGGTTGTACTTAATTGAAGTCAATTTATTCAACAGAAAAAATAAAGATATTGTCGTTGAATAATAATCATTACTTTCTAAATGTGAAGAAAACTTGATGAACAGCTGTAACTCGTGATTGAAATCGTTTTAAATGAATTTTAGAAATCACATGAACTAATTGTCGACGAAATCTTTTCGATGTACGTATGTAAATAGAGAATGGATTCTAAATAAAAAAAATAATTATCAGTTCAAGAAAAATCTTATCTTGAAAAGTGACACTTACAGCAAAATAATAATAATATAAGGATGTATAATTATATTTGATAATATTGAAAAAAATGTATAAACAACTTGTATAAGAACCACATGGACTTTGTTCAATAATTGCAATTAGAATTGCAAAAATCATTACACAATATGTAATTTTAATATGACATTATCTTTGCCATCGAATTCGAGAACATGTTGAAAAATTTTGATCAATTATTGGCAAACAAATACTCAATATTCCATTCAGTTATCATTATTCGAGTTAATAAATAAGAAAAATAATTACATTAAAAATTTTACCAACTAAACCAGTAATAAACCATCCACTAGGAATGTTCAGATAAAGGGGGAGGAGGGGAGGCAAACATTTATGGACATCCAGATGCTTACTATTGAATATTTTTCTTTTTTTTCATACGAATTTCCATGGAACTTTGCAGCTTAGCTCCGTTGTACAGAGCAGTCTTAAAGAGGAAATGAACTGAAACAATAGGTTGAATATGAATATCATCTGTAAGTAACTGACGATTATACTACATGGATAAACGAGTGATATGAATGTTATTAGATTTTCGAGTGTTGTTAGTATTGAACTTCATTTATTGATTTTACTATTTTCTGCTCATTAAAATCAAATATAATTAAAAAATAAAAACTTTGCAATAGATTAGATTTTTGTTTGTTGCTTATCAAATGTGTGTTTTGTCTTTGGGAGAGACCCAAATTCCTCTATGAAATTTCCCTGGAAACTCAAAATCCTATGAAAAGTTGGTACAATTCGTAGTGCTTAGCAGCATACATTTTTATTAAAACGCAGTGCTCAGCAGGATATCATAGTATAGATGTAGAATCTCGATATATGTGTGGGTAAGGATTAAGATAAGATACACCCACACCGACATACTACACTCCAGCTATTTTGGATGCTGCTTCATTAACAGCTTATTTTTCATTTGATTTAGTAAATCCTACATATGATAGTGGTTCACTTGGATTGAATGGAACAGGAGTCAATATTGCAGTTGTTGATGGACGTATTAATCAAGCAATGCGTTTTTCTGGTTCATCATCTTATTTTTATGCATATGGTGTTTATTCAGGCAAATCATTTTCAGTTTCTTTATGGGTTAATCCATCATCTATTGCTACTTGTACTGTAGTTCAAACATCTTATGGATTATATAATTATGCATGTCATAACTTACTTGGTTTTTATTCAACTACTGGCTCAACAATGCAAATTCTTGTACAAGGCTATTATTGACTATTAATCTATGGTCCTTTCGTTACAATTAATACATGGATACATATTTCAGTGACATACAGTCAAACAAATGGACTTCGATTATATGTAAATGGAGTTTATTTTGGTAGTTCTGGTAGCTTTATATTTTATAATAGCAATGGTATAATGTATTTTCAACTGGGATATATGTATATTTGTTCAACAAGTGCTCCTATCAATGGTGGTTATCAAGGTTTAGTCGACAAAATATCTCAAAGCGAAGTTAGTACTCTAGCAAATCCATAAATATTGTTTCATTTATTTTCAAACTTTTATTAAGAAACTTTCTCTTATGAATTTTTTGTAACACGTATTTTTTTCACATAGTGCCATTTTTTAATTCATGACGATTTAATTCATTTTCGCAAATAGATCTATGTATCCATGTTGTCAATTTTTCATCAAAAATAAAGATTTGAACAATTCACTCCGTTTTTTTTATTATTTGTTGACTAAATTAATATTTTTAGTCTTGAAGACATCGATTTCAATATGCCATAATACATTCTGTCAGAGGGCTCCACGCCTTTTCCTATTGATTAAATCTTCTAATTAGCGACTATTCTTATGGTGCCATCTTTGATAAATAATCAAACTCGAAACAAAGCAATAAAAGACGATGTGTCTGGTACAGGCAGCTTGAACACATTCACATACACGAGATGGATGCGATTGCAATTGAAATCTATAATATTTTTCCAATAGTTTAAAAACATTCCTGCACTAAGAGATTAAAAATGTCAAGCAGAAGAACAACGATTTGCACAACATAGGTACTTGTTTATGCTTTTGATCAACAAAATAAATTTATCTCTAAATGATGATCATTTTTGAACATTTGTAATGAGAATTAAGTAGTCGTATTTACTAATGAATTGTAAGTTTTTATTAATTGGAAAAAGAAAATGAAAATAGATTCTGAACAAGTTAGAGACTTAATTTTCAAATTAATGACCTTCTTCTAAACTATACTATTATTCTTTGTTTTTCTGTATCAATCAAGCATCTTCAAATGAGGATGTGGGTGTGTGAGTGTAGGTGCGGATAGAGCAAAGACTAACACGCATACCCACATCCACGCCCACACCCACATCCTAGTTCAGTATCGATGCATTTGCATTATACGATTTTTTCATGGAATAGTCAATGATGATCTTCTAAAAAGTTACAGCGCAGATACACGAAATTCATTTTGAAGTTCTTGTTGTACCAGACTAACCCAATAACCGACACCAAAAATCAAAGCATCATCGTCGAAGTTGTACGTTGGCGAATGAAGTGCACCAGATTGGTTTCCATTCCCGATAAACATAAAGGCACCCGATTTTCGTTCGAGCATTTCAGCAAAATCTTCTGCGCCCATCATTAGCGGTGTGTTTCCATCGACGTTTTCGGCGCCTACGAGACTTTCAACTGCTCTAATGGCGTTTTTTGTAGACTGAGCATCATTGACAAGTGGAAACCCTTCTCTATTAAATATAACTTCAGCTGTGCACTCAAAGCCAGTGGCAAGACCATGTGCCAGCTCTTTCATGCGTCGTTCGATTGTATCTCGCACGTCTTTCGTAAAACTACGGGAAGTACCACCAACACGAATTTCTGATGGTAACACATTCAATGATTGGAAAAATCCACTTTGAATAGCGCCAACACTTATCACAGCTGGATCTGTCGGTGCAATATTACGACTAACAATTGTCTGCAATGATAGAATGAATTCTGCTAACAGCACAGTCACATCGGTTGCTAGATGTGGCAGAGCACCATGGCCACCGGTACCTCGAAATGTAACAACCCAACTATCAGCTGCTGCCATCATTGGACCCGATCGAATGACAAATTGTCCAACCGGTATACCTGGAAGATTATGTAGTCCGTAGATCGCGTCCATTGGAAATCGGTGAAACAATTTATCGTTAATCATGCGAAGGGCGCCATCGTCTTTTTCTTCAGCAGGTTGAAAAATAAAGTAAACAGTTCCAGAAAATGAATCTCGATTTTCTGCCAAGTATTTAGCCGCACCAAGTAACATTGTAGTATGTCCGTCATGACCACAAGCATGCATGATACCAGGAATCGTGGAAACATAAGATACATTGTTCTTCTCAATGATTGAAAGAGCATCCATATCAGCACGCAGTCCAATAGAATGATTACCTGGTGTGTTACTTTTCAATGTGCCGACTACACCCATAGTGCCCACTCCTTCGGTAACAGTTATATCCCATTGTTTAAGTTTAGCAGCAACTATAGCAGAGGTACGTATTTCTTTCATTGCAGTCTCTGAATGAGCGTGAATATCCTGACGGATGAAAGTCAGCTCAGCCTGCATCGTACGTAATCGATCAAGAAGACTGTTGTTAATTTGCTCTTGATTTCGAGTACTAGAATCCACATGTTTCAAAATAATTACTGCCAAAATGAATAAGAGCAAAGTCCAAAGAGAAAAATGCATAGCTTCACAGGATTTGATCTTGATTGTAAATGACGATGCATAGTCAAGACAAAAGGGGATTAGCGATGCAGTTGTACAAATATCATCTTTCATGTTTTGGCAAGACTACAATGCAAATATGCTTGCTCGTTCTTTTATATTGACCAAAGAAACCTTGTTTTCTGCACATGTATATTCTTTTAAGATTTATTAAAATATTTAGTGTTAGAGTCGAAGTGGTTTTCAGATTAGAACTCAATTAAAAAACAAAAGGGTTTTTAAATATGCAGCAAAAAGCATTACTAAAATATTCTATTATTTAATCGCTTGGTTGCATATACACACGAAGTCATAGAGTATTTGGTGGATGGATTTTTGTGATTTTGCTGTATATAAATTTGCTAAAGACGAAATATAATAAGAATTTTTTCATATTGTGTTCTTGTAAAAGTTTGTGTACTGTAAGTATATCAGATAACATTGCTATTTCTTTCTTCCTCATATATGATCGAAAATTGATTAAATTTAGGATCGTGTCAATTATTTGATTTAAAAATATTTGAGGAGAAATTCAATTAGATAGATTTCTTTAGTTTGAAAGATGAATTTCTATGATTCAGAAATCTTCTTAAAGTAAATATTAATCAATTAAAACACTATCAATGGAGTGTGCGTATGTGGGTTTCTGTGAAAGGAAGATAAACAGCCAACCTCATCCATACTCACACTGACACCTACACCCAGCATGCATATATATATATATATACGTATTTAATATTCTTGTGTTACTAATTAAAAATAAAATATAATCTTGTCTGTCTAAAAACAATGTACGAGAGTCAAACAAAGAAGAACATGTATAAATTATAAATGAAATGAAGAGTTATCCGTTCACAAAAGAAATATACGATTCTCTATTATGCTGGATTCTTTTTCTATTTGGATTCATTTTTATGAACTAGCAAGTGTCGTAACCTCAGCTTGTGTAAGTTCACGACTATGCACATATACTTCATCCACCGACCCTTGGTAAGCACTATTTGAAACACTACTACTTGATGAGCAAGTATACATAAATCCCAATTGTAAATATGTTATATAACCAGAATTAGTAAATGTAAAACTATCAGTTTGACCAAAATAGCCTCCATTTACATATAACGAAAGTCCATTTGTGTAACTGTATGTCACTGAAATATGTGTCCAAGTATTTGTAGTAAGATATGGACCGACTAGAATTATCCAAGATGAAGACCATCCTTGAATAATGATTTGCCCTGTTGTACCGTAATTTGAAAAAATACCAATTAGATTGTGACATCGATAGATTGCTAAAGAATAAGAAAAATGAACTATAGTAGAAGCAGTCAGTGCTGTTGGATTTATCAATAACGAAACTGAAAATGATTTACTCGCCAAAACTCCATAACCAACTTGAAAAAAAACATGCATAAAAATAAGAGAATGAACCGCTAAAGTGTATTGCTTGATTGACACGACCAGAAACTATCACCGCACTGTTTTGTGTTCCATTAACACTATTTGGACCATTATCATTATATGGAGAAGGCATATCAAATGAAAAGTAACCAGCTAATGTGGCAGCAGTAAGAATTTCATCAGAAGTTTTTGCACGTGTAGTTATTTTTACATTATCAATATAACCATTAAAATAATTTCTTATTAAAAGAACAAGTGTTGAACCAATATCAATTGTTTCATTAATTTCTTGATAAGCACTAGCATCTGATTTAATCGTATCTTGTATTCCATTAACATACAAGATTTATTGTTTTGTATTATAATTATAAACAAAAGTGACATGATACCAAAGATTATTGATTAGATTTTGTGAACCACTTATATCATTGTGTGTAAAACCAGCAAATAAATAACCTCCTCGAACAAGAAAATATAAACATTGATTAGAACATGTCGTACATTGACATTGACTAAATATACCATAATCACCAGAATACACTGTTGTTGAAAAAATCCATGCTTCGATTGTAAAACTTCTATAGGTAAGATCAAGAAATAGGCTTGAAACTCTCATATATTGACTTGATGATGATGATAATAAACTAAGTCCTCGACCGTAACCCACAAAGGGTTGACTGTTTGTTGTTGAAAAATACGATGCACTATTCATTTATATACCATTGTAAGTATTCGATGAATCTGATGTCATAACATCAAGAGACCAATAGACAGAAATAGCGGTAGTAGCCTCAGATTCTGATGTTGTAGCTATGTTTAAAGCAAAGATATTATGCAAAAATTTACTAATCATATAATTTATTACTTAAAACTTTTTCTAGATGATTTTATAAAACAGATCGATACCAAGTACATTTCTGGACAAAGAAAAACATTCTCAATACCGTTTAACTTTGACAAAAAAATTTCTTGTGGCAGTTTTTTTTACTTTTCTCTTAAAGTACAACTAGAAATCTATTTTATTTTCTTATAAACTGAAAATAACAGTTTATATTCAAAATTATTTTCTGTCTTTCAGCATACAATATTCATCTTTTAACTATTGCAAACCAATAGATATCGTGTTACCTTGTTTTCGCGTAAGCAACATAGCAGGAACTACTGCAATAACGATTATTACGACTATAGATGAAGCTATAATAACACCTACAAGGACTTTTGTTTGTGTTGATCAACTATGAATAAAGAAAAATAACATATTGATAAGAATGAAATAGTCACAAAATATGAGTAAATATTTTACCTAGTTGTAGTTGGTATTTCAGGTAGATTGTTTATTTTTCGCATTTGTTCGATGACCATAAGTTAAATTTAATTTGTTCTTAATACTGTACTTTAAAAACGAATAATAATTTATATTATAACGGTGAAAGAAACTAGAAGTTTGTTTCTAATCTCAAGCTGCAAAACTGTCGAATCACTATACTCTCCATTAGTATCGAGATTTTTTAACAAGAGGGTGTTTTCATGGGATGTCGCCAGTCGATCCAGCGACCACATCCAAATTCAGTGAAACTTTCAGGCTTTGTAGAGTATTTTGCGCTGATCATTTTGGTTATAAAATTGTTATATTTGGTCGCTATTTTTAGAGAGATACGGATCAAATACTATTGATGCATTTTATGTTTTTTTCAATCAATTCAAGTCACATTTTTATCGAAAAACCGATCATAGTCCATGATTATCCTTTCGGATTTTAAAACCAATTACATATTTGTATTCCTCTTGAAAAACTGCACCAGAATCCTTAGGAATCTAAAAACTTTTCACGCATTTTTATACTGCCCACTGATTCACAATGTAGAGGAACAGTGTATGAAAAATTCGATCAGAAAGTTGGAATGAACGAGAATGGTGGCCTTACCAGTTCGATAGAGCAGAACTTGCTCTACAACATCCACTAATTAGTTTTCTCCCCGACCTTGATTATAAAATGAACGACTGTCAATACTATTTTAGATTACAATTTTTCATCAAATTCAAGTGAATATATCGGTGAGATCTAATCAGATGGCTTGTTAATCACTTCAAAATTCACTGAGATTTGAAAGAATATGTTGATCTGATCATTTTGATACTAAATTATCTAATGTTCAACTCTATTTTCACGAATAAACAAGTCAAATAATATCAGTGTATATAATATCCTTTTAACTATTATGCATAAAAAAAAACAATGCATTTTTTATGAAAAGAAGGGAGTAGCACCATATTATTTATTTAAGCTAGAAACCTGTGTATATTAGAGTCGAACATTAGATAATTTAGTGCCAAAATGATCAGATCAACATATTCTTTCAAATCTCAATAAATTTTGAAGTAGTTAACAAGCCATCTGATTAGATCTCACCGATATATTCACTTGAATTTGATGAAAAATTGTAATCTAAAATAGTTTTGACAGTCGTTCATTTCATAATCAAGGTCGAGGAGAAAACTAATTAGTGGATGTTGTAGAGCAAGTTCTGCTCTATCGAACTGGTAAGACCACCATTCTCGTTCATTCCAACTTTCTGATCGAATTTTTCATATACTATTCCTCTACATTGTGAATCAGTGGGCAGTATAAAAATGCGTGAAAAGTTTTTAGATTCCTAAGGATTCTGGTGCAGTTTTTCAAGAGGAATACAAATATGTAATTGGTTTTAAAATCCGAAAGGATAATCATGGACTATGATCGGTTTTTCGATAAAAATGTGACTTGAATTGATTGAAAAAAACATAAAATGCATCAATAGTATTTGACCCGTATGTCTCTAAAAATAGCAACCAAATATAAAAATTTTATAACCAAAATGATCAGCGCAAAATACTCTACAAAGTCTGAAAGTTTCACCGAATTTGGATGTGGTCGCTGGATCGACTGGCGACATCCCATGGAAATACCCTTTAGTATTCACTTATTCAAACATCACTTGAAAATTCAGACATTGATTCAGGTTTGCATTCAATTAATTGTCTAAATTTATTAAGTTTAGCACTTAAAATGTTTTGAAAATTTCCCATTGTTTTTCAATTAATTAATCTTGAATATACATATGTTGAGATTCTAGTGGTCTCCATAAAACAAAGAAAAGATTAAGTTGAGCTATTTCATTGGATCCAGAACTTAATAAACATTTAACAAAAAAAAACCGATTGTTCAATGAATTTGTTAGAAGATGAATGAATGATCGAATAGTTTCAATTCAAGTAAACAAATAAGCGTATTATTAACACAAGTAAATATATCAAATGAGAATTTCTCATAATTAAACTAAAACATTCAGAAAATTTTAGCTCATTTAACAACTGAAAGGGATTGAAAATGCGTGTGCTCATAAAGACTAGTGCTTCGGTAGAAAGATTATTTAGCTCAGCTGGATTAACATTTACTCAATGGCGAATACGTTTATCATCAAGTTAAAATCTTCAAATATATTATTTAGTTTTTCTTGTTGTCTATCTATTGATATTGACTATATTTTGAATAATTAATATTTTAAGTTTGTTTTATTCAGTTTATGAAACGGTATGGTGATCAAATATTCTGATGGTTTTTTTCTTGTTTTGACTTTAATGATATATTAAATCATGAGAAAAACGAACGAAATAAGACCTACCAATTAGGGTGTGGGTGTCGGTTTCAGTCTCTTCATGCACACCCACACTCACTCAACACAACATCTTGTAGTACGTGCCAAACAAACTTAATCGCTCAGCCATAAAGACTGTGCATCAATAGACGATTGAAACTGAAATTGAACATTCTTGTTAAAAAATAACTATAGCAACAAATAGAATGGCGAATCAGATTCTTAAACAAATCACTGATACGAGTAAAATGCTTGAAGAGCAAATCATTTTAATTTCTGTTTAACATGATTCTGAGCTTTGAGAAAGATTTTACGACATTCAAATGTCAATTTGTCATATAAATTCATCATATAGATCAATGCAGGCAAAACTGAGCATGTTCACATTTACTGTGACTTTCATTCTTCACAAGAACTATTTTTCTGAATCGATTCTTTCAACATTGATATATGTATAAGTGTTGAACTTTTCAGGTGACTATTAATTAAATCAATTAATTAATTAATTAAAAAATAATTAGCAAACATCTCTCTAATCATATGAGAAAAGAATCAAAAACTTCAGGATACACTCTACGCAACTCGCCAACATTAGCAGGAACACTTTCGATACACATTCATCCCTTTAAAAAAATCATAGACAATCCAAATGTACACTACATCTTTTCACTGAAGACATATATATGTAAAACGACTCAAATAATACGGCACTCAAATATCTTCATCCTTTCACGATACGAAAGCTACCACCAATGTCTTCCTTATTAAGCACGCTATATTGAAAATCAAGAAGCTTTATTTTTCTCCAACAGAAATGTAGAAAAAAGAACGTGCCACTAGCTTCAATACGTCGTTCCAGTTATCCATCATACCATCTTTATTGGTAATATTCATCATTTGTCTTGTCCTTTACTCGATTCCATCATTTGCTGTAAACGATGCTGGAATTCATCACCGATTTCATTGCCTCGAAAATTCAGTGTTTTAAGTGTCTGTGTGAAAAAGTGAAGAGGAGAATATGAAAGAGATGAAGGGAGTATGAGGGATACCGTGTTAGCTTGTAAAGCATCAGCCAGATATTTTGCCGCTACATCTCTTATTCGATTGTACGAGATATCTAGTGTAGTGAGAGTCTGTATGAAAAAAATGAAGATGTGGATATAAGATGGATGAACAGCGAATTAGAGTCACCTTGTTAGTTCGTAAAGCGTCAGCCAGATGTTGTATTCCTACAACACCGATCCCAGTGCTTTCGAGATTGAGTGCAGTGAGTGTCTGTGTAAAAAAAGTCCAGATGAGTATATGACAAAGATGAGGAGAGAATGAAGGTCACCGTGTTAGTTCGTAACGCGTCTGCCAGATGTTGTACTCCAATAGCACCAATTCCCGTACCTTTGAGATTCAGTGTGATCAGTGTCTATGTGAAAAAGCGCAGATGGACATGCAAGAGAGAAGAAGAGAAAATAAGAGTCACCGTGTTGGTTCGTAAAGCATCAGCCAGATGCTGTGCTCCTAGAGCTCCAATTTCATTGGACTCGAGATTGAGTGAGGTGAGTGTCTGTATTAAAAAGCATAAACAGGCATATAAGATAGATGAAGAGAAGATGAGATTCACCGTGTTGATTCGTAAAGCATCTGCCACATGTTGTACTCCGAGAGCTTCCAATTCGTTGGACGAGAGATTGAGTGAGGTGAGTGTCTGCGTCAGAAAGTGTCAATAGTGATATTCAAGAGATGAAGAGAGAATGATGGTCACCGTGTTATGCTGTAAGGCATCAGTCAAATGTTGTGCTCCAACAGCTTTGATTTGATTCCAGGAAAGACCTAGTGTGGTGAGTGTCTGTGTAGAAATGTGCAGATGGAAATGTGAGAGGGATAAACAGAGAGTAATGGTCACCTTGTTATTGCGTAATGCAACAGCTATATGTTGTGCTCCTATATCTCCTATTTCATTGGATGAGAGAATCAATGAGGTGAGAGTCTGTGTGAGAAAGTGTAGATGGGCATATATGAGAGATGGAAAGACAATGAGGGTTACTGTGTTATTTCGTAAAGCATCAGCTAGATGCTTTGTTCCAAGAGTTCCGACTTGATTCCAGGAGAGATCCAGCGTGGTGAGTGTCTGTATGAAAAAGTGCAGATGGGCATATGAGAGAGAGACGAACAGAGAGTGAGAATCACTTTGTTGTTCTTTAGGGCAATAGCCATATGTTGCGCTCCTTTGTCTTCAATTTCATTGGAGGAGAGATATAATGATGTGAGTGTCTGTGTGAGAAAGTGCAAATTGGGGATATGAAAGATATGAAGAGAGAATGAGAGTCACCGTGTTGATGTGTAAAGCACCAGCTAAATGTTGTGCTCCGAAAGCTGTGATTCGATTATCCGTGAGATCTAGTGTGGTGAGTGTCTGTATGAAAAAGTGGAGATAGGGATATGAAGAGAGAAGAAAAGAGAATGTGAGTCACCTTATTATTCCGTAAAGAATCGGCGAGAAGTTGTGCTCCCGTATGTCCGATTTTATTAGAGGAGAGATATAGTGAGGTGAGTGTCTGTATGAAAAAGAGCAGATGTAGATATGAAAGATCTTAGGGCATACCAAAAGTAGTGACGCTAACGCTATAAAATCTTACAGAAGGCTCGAACAAAATTCTCTTTCTACATGTACTGATAGTTCAAATAAAGTTCTATAATTCTACAATATTTTATCATTCTTCAGGCAGTATTATTATGGAACAGTTTCGATGTGTTAAATTTTGCTGTTAGTTATTAAAAATTGTTCTTCTTGTGAATATAACAACATTGAATTTTTGGAAATCACTCACATCTTGCGAGGGATGTGAGAATCTTAGATTTTTGGAAATTCAATAACTCGTGAAGGAAACATTCTTATGGGCTGAAATTTTTTTAGACATTCTAGCAGCAAGTACATCTATCTGTGGGTGAAATCTCAGGTTGAAATATCGCCACTTGATTTATTGATGTGCACCGTGTTGTAGTCTCAAATTCTAGGAAAACGACTGTAACTTAGAACAGAAGGTCTAAAGGTACTTCTTCTTTTAAAAGTTTTTTGGTATTTCACTAGTGTCAATCTTATACATAGAGACTAGAATCGAAAATGATTTACTACTTGAAACGATCCTTTCAATAGACATATATCTTCTTTTGTGCTTTTCTTTTAATTTCATTTTGGTCTTCTCTTGCCTGCTCTTTCTGTTTCGTCTAATAGCCAGCCATCTTCATACATGTAAAGATAGATCTCGTTTGTTTTTTTGCATACGTATAGTTAATTTATCCTGTATTCACAAGAAGAAACATTTTCAAAAAATTAACAACGAGCTTTAATATATCGAAGCTATGCTATTATAATATCACCCAAACAATGGTGAAATATTGTAGAATTATAGAGCTTGATTTGAGGTATCAGTATATGTAGAAAGAAAATTTCTGCGAGCCTTCTATAGGATTTTACAGTGTCGGCGTCACTACTTTTGGTATGTTCTAAGTATGAAGAGAAGATGAGAGTCACCGTATTCTTTTGTAAGGCATCAGCCAGAAGTTGTGCTCCAAGAGCTCCGATTTGATTGTAGGAGAGATGTAGTGAGGTGAGTGTCTATGTAAAAAAGTACAGATGAGGATATGAAAGGAATGAAGGTAGAATGGAAGTTACCGTGTTATTTCGTAATGTATCAGCAAGAACTTGTGCTCCGAGAGCTCCAATTTTATTGGAGGAGAGATGTAGTGAGGTGAGTGTCTATGTGAAAAGTAAAGATAGGAACGTGTGAGAGATGAACAAAGAATGAGGGTTACCGTGTTATTTCGTAAAGCATCAGCTATATGTCTTGCTCCTATATCTCCGATGTTATTGTTGTGAAGATTTAGGGAGGTGAGTGTCTATGTGAAAAAGAGATGGGGATGTAACAGAGATGAACAGAGAATGATAGCCACTGTATTATTTCGTAAAGCATCAGCCAGATGTTGTACGCCTTTGTCTCCAATTTCATTGTTGTGAAGATTTAGCGTGGTCAGTGTCTATGTGAAAAAGTGAAGATGACGTTATCATACGACAAATAGCATAACAGAGTAGGAAAAAAATCTGTTTGGTTAACTTATATGAAGGAGTAAACGAAGCCAATCAATGACTAAAACAGTTAGTACAAAAAGGCAGTGGCGAGTGCTGGCGGGTGGTTGAATTCTCATTGAATAATATACGATGCTAGCCCAAAAAGGGTTGAAAAAAAAAGGTTTTGGATTCTACATATATAGAATTGATTTTTGAAACTATTTTATGAATATTCCCAGAGTATAGATTAAAAACTTTCATGTTGATTTGTATGATGCGAAAATTTCTAATGAATAGTTTTCTTTTCCTTCTTTGATAAGTTATCCTTTTCAATGAATCAAAGAGCATTCATCTTTCGAGATAGGGTAGTGGAAAAACGTGAAAATTGCAGTAATGACTTTAGCAGTTGACTTTTGGTAATTACCGAAAGTAGCGGTTTCATGTACTTTCGTCATTAGCGCAATTGAGCTATTGGCTATTGTCGAAAGCTCAGTCTACTTGAGGATGAAAGTCGAATAAAAACATAACTTTTGGCAATGACCAAATGTCTTGGTTTAGTCGATAATCCATTAAGAGTGCTCCTTAAAAAAAGTCAATTTTGATCAAGCTTGTTGATTTTGTGATTTATAACTGGTTAGATAGAGCTAAGTGTCTACTTTCGAATGCACTATAACTTATTAATTTTATGATGAGATTTAAGGATATTACATAAGTCTTTCTGAACGTCCCCCGAGAAGAAAATAACGTTTTTTCTAAAAGCTTTTGATTTTTTCTCAAAATAGGATTTTTGATTCTTACATTTCCGTGCGTCCCAGATTTCTCCGCCATTTTAAAGGCTAGAAAGCGAGGCTTTGTATCAAAATGAAGGCAAAGACTAGCTCTACAACTTAGCAGAGTCAAGTTTTTCGATTTCTCTATTAATGTTTATAAAAAACTAATTGTTATGGGCCTATACCCCTTAGGTTTTTCATACTTCATCAGAGGAGTTTTGTAAAAAGACAAGCGAAGAGAAAATTGAAAAATCAGATCCTGTTAAGTTGTAACGCCACATCTTAGCCACATATTAAAACCAACCCGACCTTTCTAGCATTTGAAATGGCGGAGAAATTTGGGATGCACGGAAGTCTACGTTTTAACCCATCATCTCAAGTTAACTGTTCGTAGACTCAATGTGTCGAGCTGAAATTTTCACTGTAAGGTGTCTATAAGTCGAGATACATCTTCACTGAAAATTTCATCAAAATTGGATGCTCCGAAAAATAACTTCATATTTGAGAGGGTCCTTAGTTAATCATGTTTGAAAAATCTCACTTTCGCTAATTTTTCTTAACTAGTGAACTTTTGCAATAAATGAGTAGCATCTTGTTAGGAAGGCATATCAGTTAATTAACTCACACATTCGAGTGAGAATTATAACGGTTCTGAGTTACAAAGCTGAAAAAGTTTTATTCTTGGACTTTCGGCAACGTGGAATTATATATTGCCAAAAGTCCAGTGATAGCCTATTTAATTAAAAGTAATATCAACAGTCTATTACAAAGTCTGTGGCAATTGTAGAGAATCAACTACGAAAGTCAGTACTGCGAAACTCATGTTATCTGGATAGCAACCAACTCGAACTAAATGGATATATTCGAACAATGAAATGTAGTCATCCATGTCAACACCAAATCCAACATAGGCGCGTTTTGGCACTCAGAGTGTATACAGAGATACCGCAAAGATGGATCAAGTCACCTGAAATCTCATACAAAACATCCTATTCATTATTGTACAAGACTTGTGTTCGCTTAAGTCAGAAAATTTGTTGTTATGTGAGAAGAATCACGAAGTAAAGAAGTTCTTAGCGTCAATGGATCGTTTCATCAATCAAATAAATTACTTATCTTCTGTTAACTAAACCTCAATTCAGAGAACATCAACTTCTGAAAAGTTACATTTCATTTACTTTATCCAAAGATCATCATGAGTGTCAGAGTATAACTACCGTAAAAACCATTTCTTATTCATTTCCTTTGACTATAAAAGCCTGTTGGTGTTCTTTGAACAATTGTATAAATAGTATAATTTCAGAGCGTTTTTAAAGTTTCTTAGGCGCGGGAACTTCTTAGAAGTATGTTTAGTTTGTTTTGATACCATCGTTTTTTAGTAAATGTTTAAATTCTCAACATTTAACTAAGTATCTTCTATGATCTTCAAATCAATTCATCTAAAGGATTCTTTCCTACAATTACTATAGAAAAATGAAACTGCATTGCGGAAACCTTCGATAGATTTTAAAAAAATAGATGAACTTTGTTTTCTATACAATAAAGCATTGCAGAAGAAAATAAGAAACTCAATGAAATCTTCTGAAATAGTTTGGATAATGTGATGATTGTTTGCTTTTGGGTAGTACTCATTAATTTCAACATATTGTCATTGAACTATTACTATTCTAAAATCAACAAGTAAAGTAACCAATATATTCATTTGTTGAATTAAATGATGTCTTGAAGATGAAAGAAATTTGACTTCATGGTATCGATAAAATTTACCTGGTATCGATGATATTTGTCAGTAATTGCATTCAGTTGTGTACATACATTACGAACTGAACATAAGATTGTGAATTCATCGAGCTTGTCCAAAATGCGAAGGACAAGCTCAACAGGTAAGTTCAAAAGAGACGAAGGAACTTTATTGGCCATAAATATTGCTTGCTTGCGAACACTATATTTTATTATAATGAATGTCTGTTGAAACTGATTTTTCTTTATATCGATGTTTTTATTGACTATGTCTCATTAACTTTCAGCATGCTTGAGTGATTTTTCTTTCTTACACAGACATGAAATAAGTGTAATACGAATAATCCAATCGAAAAGCAACTTTGTAAAAATAGATGTCAATGTATCATATGCTTTAATCTGAATTTTATACGAAGCTTCGATATATAACTGAACACTTCCAAGAGTTTCCATTCTTCTTCAATATAATCGAGGTCTCCTTTCAGTTTTCTTTTTGTCTGTTGCACTTTGCCATTCGAGGTAAAAGTAAAGAGGAAAAAGATGAGTGAAAGTAGTGGAAGATAATAGAACCAATAGACAAAAAGAGTGACACAGACATTGGTAGCGATGACATTGTTGTGATCTTATTGTTTCAATGAAAAATAAATATCACACGTGTGAACAAGGAACATTTTTACTTTAAACACATTTATCACAGCGCCCTCACCCGCACACTATGATGTGTGTGTGTGTAATTTACACCAATCAATGTGAAGTGTGTTTTAAAAACTATAAATGTATGCGTTATTTCCACTGTTCATAGGCTTTTGTTGTAGTAAACGTCGAGTGTATCCACTGCTTGCTTCAATTCATCACAACATATTTTTTCGATTTCATTCACGTCTAAAAATATCTTGTGAGCATGATTTTTTCTTTTGATTAACAGTAACCAAAATCACATTTTTTTATACATATCGCTTTCCAGACAAAGAAAAGAAAAGGTAGAAAGTGAATGAACAGCAAGAACGTGAAATGTCACCAGTTTTGAGAATAAATTGCTTATTAAATTTTATTCCAAGACATTAATGAAGAATTCGTATCAAGATTTTGTAAAGTCACTAGAGAACGATTAGCAGAGAAATCTACGGCCTTTAGAAGCAATAGTTCTCATGTTAATAATTTTACAGAAGTAAAATTAGTATCGAATTCGACTTTTTCTTGTTTACATTGACTTTTCTGACTTGTGTTGGATCTCTAATTGTTTCTGCTAGGTGTTGAACTTAATATTCTATCGAATTGCTTTAATTGGCATGAATTAAAGAATGATAGAAAAAAGATAGAAAAAAAAGAGCCGATATAACACAAACTAGTGGAACATTTATACATATCAAGTTAAAGTGAAGGATGAGATGTCTAAATTGTTTAGAAAAATGCTTGATGTGGGTGTGGAATGTAGGGTGTGGATATGGATGTAGGTGTGTACCTTCTTCTATCTCAGATCTACATCTACACGCGCACACGCACACCCCGACAATTTGATTCAAGTTTTGAAAATGATGCAGTATAAATTCAATGGCTCCTAATGCGTTTGAGACACATTGGTGGTATGCGCTAATGTAGTTGATTTGGAATAAAAATCTGATTAAACATAAAAAAGTCAGTTATTATCGATTTGGAACAATAAATCTAATAAACATTTCAATAATCGGCTCCAGTCTATTAAAAAAATGGTATTTTTAATCAATTTGTAAATTAAAATCAAATTTTAATCCAATTATTTGTGCCGTTTTGTTCCGAATCGAAATAGTTCGAAACTAGAACCAAAGACGTGTGTTTCTCTCTCTGATTAGTGTGATCGACACTAGCACAAAACATTTGAGCTTCGTTCGCATCATGTGCAATATCTACCAACATCTTGTCGAATAGAAAGAGATTTATGATAAAGAAAAAGACACATATTTGCTCTAGTGCAATTCTAGTGGTCAATCTGATTTCAAAGTAAAAGAAAATATGGTACTAATTTGTTATCACTCCACAAAAATCTTTTTAATTTTTTTTGATTTTATCTTATCTTTTAGCTTTTAACATAAAAATAGGGATGAGGGTAAGGAGTCTTGTTGCGTTTGAGAATAAAAATTTTTTGTGAGGCAATAACAAATCCGTACCAAAAAGCATTTTCAGTCTGTATCATAATCATATTGTTACGATGCTGATAAGCTTTTTCTAAAGTTCGTAAAATGTGGTGACACAAAAAATAAGCATATGATTTTACAGAATAACGCTCGATGCTCAGGAGGAAAATAAAAAACATTCTCAAAGTTTTTCGTCTGAATGAGTGACTTGAAGTATAAAATTCATTTATATCTCTTTGGTTTTATCGTGTGATTAATTCTCTGATAATTTTCTGAATGAATCAAATTCATATTGTGCAGTACATTTCCCTAATTCTGTCGGAAAAATCTTACCATTTTTTGTTTCAACTAGTGTGCGGCTATTTTACATCCGATCAAAAATATTTTTATATTTAGATAATCTTTGGATTCTCCTCTTTCAAACGATATATTGTTAGTCTTTGATTTTTCATGTTTTCATCGTGAAATTATCGGCCTACGAAAAATACTTGCACCTGACAGAATTAGATAGTAGTGACCTAATCCTGACGACCAGCAAAAAACTTCCCTAATTATTATGCCTCTAACAAATTTTTATATAGAAAAACTCAATTTTAGGAAACAAACTAATTTTCTCATTTTTTTTGCTGAGAAATGGAGGGGAGGTGTCTGAGACATTTTTTTAGAGCGGATCAAGCTCTATCATAGTCTAAAGGTTCAAGACAACTCTATTTTCTTTTATCAAAATACAGATCTTGGAATGAAGACACCTAAGAGTAATGGAAAAAAGTTGTCCCTAATTCTGACGGTAATTGTTTTTATTCCTAACTATGACTTTTCAGTCATTTTTTGTGTCCCTAATCACGATGGTAACTTTTGTTTTTGTCCTACAATATAGCAGTCAACTATTCCTGTGCCGATACTTCATTACAAAATTAGTATACCAGACTTTATTCAAAAATAACGTGTTCATATATGATGGTATTGTGTGCGTGTAATATTCGTATAGCAGTGCTCACGATGGCTTCTACTACATGTTAGATATACTGTAAACAGACGTTTAGAGTCGTGCTATACAGATTATCATAGTGGGTATTCAAAACGCTTCTAGTGATTGTGTGAGGGTAGAAGACAACAAAGAACTTCGGACAGACAACATAAATATTAAGTCATCATTTGCAACGGATAAACGGCTGTTTCATGCCGGATCTTACTCAGTTTTGACAGCTCTTTTATGTAAAAAATTGACATTTCTTGCAAATCTTATACAAATGAAAAAACAATATAGCTAGGATATTAGGAAAGAATATAAAAGTGAAAAAGTTTAATTTTCTCATTTTTTTCAGATCTAAACAGGGACAGCTAAAATATTGATATTAGAGATATATATCAAGGTCTCTATTGAATGGAATGGTTTTAAACTTGTTCTCAGGGGAGGGAGGGGGGGGAACACTCAAATATGTTCCCTCGTAAGTACATAGATATGAAGTATTTTGACGTACTTTTGAATATTTCCAGCGACTTTTGTATTTCAAGCTGCTTTCAAAGTTAAAGTATGCTGTTCATGGTTTAGCTATGTGCTACAAGTTTTGAAAAACGATGAATACAGTAGTTACATTTTATGAGTGAAGAATGAAACAAAGCCACGTGTCGAGAAATAACTCGAGAGTACGTAGAAGAAGAATACCAAAAAATGAGTATCAGCATGAGGACAGTAAACACTTTGGAGAACGAGAAAGAACAACCAACATTATGCAGATACTTATCTACGTATATCAACATACAGTAGATATCTACTGTTCTATAAAACAAACCGACGAACAATTTTCAGTAAGTAACAAAAGCTATCACCTCAAGAAAAATAAAAATGGGCAAGCTGGAGGGAAAAATTGCTCTGATTACAGGTGGCTCGGAGGGAATTGGTTTTGCTACTGCTCAGCGATTCGTCGCTGAAGGTGCAGAGCATGTTTTCATTACTGGACGGCGACAAGAAGTACTCAACGAAGCCGTGAAAAAAATCGATGCAAAGAATGTGACCGCAGTTCAAGGTGACGTATGTAATATGGCTGATCTCGACAAGTTATACAGCGTGATTCAGAAAGAAAAAGGTCGTTTAGATATTCTCTTCGCCAACGCAGGAACTATCTCAAGAAAACCGTTGGGCTCGATCACCGAAAAAGAATTTGATGATATATTCAACGTTAATGTGAAAGGAGTGTTATTCACCGTTCAAAAAGCCTTACCAATATTCGTCGACGGTGGATCGATCATTCTGACTGGATCTATCCGTTCTATCCAAGGAGCTGCAGACAGAACTCTCTACAGTGCTTCGAAGGCAGCTGTACGCTCTTTCGCCCGCTGCTGGACAATCGACTTAAAGGAGCGCAAGATTCGAGTGAATACTTTGAGTCCAGGACCAATCGATACATCTTTATTGAGAAGTGCCGGAAACAATGAAGAGGAGAAGAAAGCATTCATGACCAGTTTCATAGCAGCATCACCGATGAACCGCATTGGCACATCTGATGAAGTAGCCAAAGCGGCAGTCTTTCTCGCATCCGACGATAGTAGTTACGTAACGGGCATCGAACTTTTTGTCGATGGGGGCATGGCACAAATCTAAGGCATCTGTTTTGTGTGCTTAAGTTGCTAATAAAATATATTCAACTTGAAATGAGAACTAATAATAGAATGTCGCATTTGGTTTATTGTGAATCTTCACCTTTCACCACGAAGTTCTCGACGGTGGAAGGAGCTATTGTATATCCTGGTAACAAAAGAATTGAATGTTTAGGATGTGGTGTGGGTTGTAGGTCTCGGATACTGACGTGGATGTTGGTGATATTAGAAGATCTAGATCAACACCCACGCTCACACATTTTTCAAAAAACTTTTACAACAATGCAGATGACATCTGTATTTATATAGATGTGTTTAAAGCCACCTTAGCAGACTCTTGAGCAAGGTCGAAATCAGTTGTGGTATACTCTTCTGAATTCACATCCATATTCTAGATTATTTCCAGCTTAAGTCATTGCCCATAAGAGAGCATCGTAAATTGAGCTGGACTGCTCAGTGGTTTTCCACATA